AATATATATATATATATATATATATATATATATATATATATATATATATATATATATATATATATATATATATATATATATATATATATATATATATATATATATATATATATAAAATTATCTGTGCGTGCGTGTGTTTGTGTGTGTGTGTGAAATTCAAAATAATTATGTTGTCGTGCGGCAGGTATGTGGAATGCACTTCCTCAGCAATTCAAAGTCTTTCATATTTCCAAAAGTTACATCCCCAACACAGAAAATCTGAAATCGAAAGTAGCATCCAAAGAGGCATACGATATGTGGAGAAGATGCAAAACCTCGATGGGTCATGGTACGTATTACGCAATTGATTCTCCGTATTCAAGTCATGAAAAATAAATTTATCATTGTGACTGCACTTTGTAAAAGAAAATTTTCTAAAAGGATCAACACCTCCCATTTTTTTAAAGGCGGAGGGAGTATATTTTTTTTAACATTTCAGATAACTAATGAAACTAGTATCACATCCATGCATTGCACGAGTAATTTTTATGTTGTTAAAATCTGCAGCATTCAAGGCTGATTGGTAGTTTTTGTGCCTTAGAAATTGTGCATAACCTTGACTCCCATCACTAAGTAAACAACATTTTCTTGCAAATCTTCTTTGAATGTGCATATATTAGTATGTTTGATCTGAGCATGGATCCGATCGGGATCGCCCTAACAACAAATAGAACACGCTTACATATAATTAAATACAATTTTTTTAAAAGATTTATATGTAAAATATAAAATAATGAAGAACTAACCTCTGAGTCGTGAAAAATAACATCCAATGATTTCAGCCCCCGAGAATGAGCAGGAACGTGATAAACTCTTACAACTCTTAGTTTCATCATCAATAGAGCTGACCTCTTATGAGTATATTTAAAGCGGTTATGATCCCCATGTTCGTACAAAAGGCGATGTTGAAACACCAAATTAAAGCACACGTTGAATAATCTTACTATCTTGGCCTGGAAAAGGGCTGTATTTATAGCCTGTAATTCTAATAGGCTAATTATAATAAGAAGGGTTAAATTTTTTTGAAACTGGGTATATAATTATTCTTACCATAATTATTTTTTTTCAAAACTGGGTGCATAATTATTCTTACCATAATTATATTATACTATAATCATACACACGTTTTTTATATTAGCTAGCCACACGGTTATACAATCAATAGGTTAGTTAAGTATTACCTTTTTAATTATTACCATTTCCAATTTTAATAACGTAATAATAACATTTTTGTACATTTTTTTATTTTTGGTTATTTGGATTTTTGGATATTACCTTTTTTAATTATTTCCAATTTCCAATTTCAAATCGTTAATTCCAATTTTAATAAAAATTTCGGAAAGCATTGATTCCAGTTTTATAATTAAAAATGACATTTTTAATTAAAATGAAGTTTATGCATATTTAAATAAAGTTTATGCATATCTAAAACGTCAATACAGGTCATAATTCCGTTGATAATGATTTAAAATTTCATATTACCTTTTAAAATGACACGTTTTAAAAATTTCAAATCGTTGATTCCAATTTTAACCTTTTTTGTGTAGGGGCGTAATTTCCAAATTTTAATAAAAATTTACGCTTTCCAAATTTTGCATATACTTTATTTAAAAACGTTATGTTGGTTCATTATTACCTTTTTTAATTATTTCGAATTTTAATAACGTAATAATAATAAAGATTTTAAACATTTTTTATTTTTGGTTTTTTGGATATTACCTTTTTTAATTATTTCCAATTTCAAATCGTTATTTTTAATTTTCCAATTTCAAAATGCTTTGCAAATACATAACTTACCTTTTTTAATTATTTCCAATTTTCAATATGTTAATTATTATAAAAATAATAATTATATTTACTTCACGCTTACCATTTTATATTACTATAATTTCGGATAGTTACCATTTTAACTTCACAATTGCCATTTGTAATTGACTTACTCTTTGGGCGGGAAAACACTAAGTTGACTCCATGTCTTTTTAAATAAAGTATGAAAGTATGGATAATAATTAATATTTATGTACTCCCTCCGTTTACAAAAAAGCTTTCTAGTTTGACCTGGATCCAAAATAAGAAAGTGTTAAATTATAGTTGACTTGCTATTGTGCCCCTGATGTGATGGGTAAAAGTAAAATGTGATGGATAGATTATTAGAGAAAAAGTATGATGTGATAGGTAGGGTATGAAAAATAAGGGTAAAAGTGATTTTTTAATAGAAAGTGGAAGTGTTTTCTTGAAAGTGGAAAAATGAAAGTGGAAGTGTTTTTGAGAACGGAGGAAGTACATTTTAATGCGGAGTACTTATTAATTCAAATTTCATCATATATATGATAGAAAAGCCTTTGCAAAATGTATCATAACTTATCTCTTCAACGTAACATTGCAAATAATCCATGAAATAATTAATAATAATAATTAATAAATTGTTCATGTATATACTTTAAAATACTCTCCCCTTTCTATCATTTTCCCCTCTTGGTTTAATGTAAAGGAAATTTACCTAAATAACACTAAAACATAGTGACTTTCCCAATATAGTACCATATGTTTTTATTTCTCAATGTGGTATCACTGTTCAATGTCCACTGGTCATTGTTCAAGTAAATGTTCACCACCACTGCATATTGCTCAAACTAAATGTCCAACATTATTGGCATTATTCCTGCCACTAGACATTATTAAGTACTATTTAAGAAATAAATAAAATTTAAATGTTACATTGTGAAGAGACATATGTTTTAGTAATATTTAATTCAAATTTCACTTAACATAATGGGTAAAGGGCACATTTGTAAGGAAGTGGTGCGTTTGAAACCCAACAACTAGGCTTAGAGTCGGTCCGTTGAACTTATTTTTTTCACCTTATTACTTATTCTTAGTAAAAAAAGAACAAAAGTATGAGTAAAACATAGAAAATATAACAAAATAGGAGTTCCATGTTTTATTCTCAGAATAAGAGTTAAAATACATAAACAATACCAATAATGCCGATATATAATACCATTGTGAAATGTCTATATATAATGTCACATTATCAAAGTGTAAATTTCTATTTTGGGGATAAAAACATTGAGTTTCTATTTTTATAGTTTCTCTATGTTTTCCTCTTATTTAAGGCGATTTCTTTTATTCTTATTATTAAAATTAGACCCAATTAGATCAGATCAAATCTGCTTTGAGACAAATTTAAATATAACTACAATAGATTAGACGAGATTGTCCATATGGAGCAAAGGCCCAATACGCTATTCACATTCATATTCCACTTTTTCAAAACCTTCTTCAAAAAAAGTCCGGACACGTTAAGACTCCTTTTCACATCACAAGTTTTAGCACAAGGACACCTCATATCATGGATAAATATAAGGACAACGTGTTGGTTATTTTAGAGTCACCGGCTATTTTATTAATTGAGATTTACTTAGAATGGACGAGAATTTCAATAGACATTGTTATCGAGCTCGGAGGTGCGGAGTGCATGCTCATTCAATGATATTAAAAAATGATAGAAAAATAAGGAGAATGATCGAAAAATAAAGAGATCCGAAGCAATGTTCTTCGTATATTTTTTTTCTGTCTTTGCCATGTACATGGTCTGAAATATATATTAATACCTATACAATGAATTCTGATCCAAACAAATGAGCAACAGGATATTATGGATGGCCATGCGTAGCTGCTCCATGTTTGGACGTATGCATGTGTTTGGATCCTTTTGTGGTTATCATGGGATGACTAATAATAGCATAATACATAATATCAAATACAATCTAATCAAGACATATTAGAATAATATCCATATTTATATTAAATCAAATCCTAACACCCCCTCAAGTTGGAGCTTGGAGTAGACAAATGCCCAACTTGGGAAGAATGGCTTCAAAATGACCTTTGCCAAGAGCTTTTGTGAAAATATCCGCACATTGATTGTGAGTAGAGACATGTGAAGTACGAATAGAACCACGTAACATCTCATCCCGAACGAAGTGACAGTCGATCTCAATGTGTTTAGTACGCTCATAAAAGACGGGATTCGATGCAATATGAAGGGCTTCTGTACTATCGCAAAATATTTGCATTGGAGAAGAATGGTTTACACCTAGAGATCGCAGCAGGCCACGGAGCCACTTAAGCTCACATGTAAGAACTGCCATATAGCGATATTCAGCCTCAGCAGATGATCGAGCCACCGTTGGTTGTTTCTCTATTTTCCAGGAGACCGGGGAGACTCCCAACTGGACAAACCAACCTGTTAAAGAGCGACGTGTGAGAGGACAAGCAGCCCAGTCTAAATCACACCACCGAGTCAATTGAAGAGAGTTGTCTGTACGTAAAAGAATCCCATGTCCCGAAGTGCCTTTTAGATAACGAACCACTCCTAGCGCTGCTTGAAGAAATTGGGCCAAAGTATGTACTGCATAGGAGAGGTCTGGGCGAGTGATGGATAAATATACCAAGCGTCCAACCAATCATCGATAGGCCCCTGGATCATCAAGCAAAGGACTAGAAGCCAGGGAAAGCTTGTGATTGGGCTCCAAAAGAGCACCCAACGGGCGAATTTCGAGTAAACCCGTCTCAGTAATAATATCAAGTGCATACTTCCTTTGGTTCAGAAAAATTACATTCTGATTACGAGCCACTTCTACACCAAGAAAAAATCTAAAAGTACCCAAATCCTTCATATGAAAACAGTCACTTAAATATTTCTTGAAGCGAACCATTTCGAGAGAATTGTCCCCGGCAATAACTAAATCATCCACGTAAAGCAAAACGTGCACCACAGAACTAGGTCGAGTATATGAGAACAAAGAATAGTCAGAATAAGATTGAGTGAAACCATACAGCCGCAAGGCGCCAGAGAGTTTTGAAAACCAACAATGAGGAGCTTGCTTCAAACCATAGAGAGACTTTCGCAGTTTACACACCACATTTGTTGCTTGAGGTCGAAAGCCAGGTGGAAGCTTCATGTAACCTCCTCGAACAGATCACCATGAAGAAAAACATTATGTACGTCCATTTGATGCAACTCCTAGTTTTGCACCGTGGCCACCGCCAAGAGCACACGAATGGTGGTAAGTTTCACAATGGGGGCGAAGGTCTCATTATAGTCAATAGCTTCCACCTGTCTATTCCCGAGAATAACAAGCCACGCCTTGTACCGCTCGATTGAACCATCAGACTTTCTTTTGATACGATAAACCCACTTGCATCCCAAAGCCTTTTTATGAGGAGGAAAAGGGACCAAGCGCCAAGTATCATTGTTTTCTAGTGCAGTGATTTCTTCCGCCA